AAAATAAACACATAAGGATAGGAGCAGTGGCTCCTGCCTTCTGGGAGGTTAAACTAGAGAATCATTTAAGGTCAGGAGTTTAAGATCAGCCTGGACAACATAAAGAACCTGTCTCTACAATAAATTTTCCCAGCTATTGGGAAGAATTCAGCAGAAAAAACAATGGAGCCCCAGAGTTTGAGGCTGCAGTGAATTATGATCACATCACTGCATTCCAACCTGGGCAGAAAAGAGAAAAATCAAAATAATAAAAGCAAACCATATAAACTATTAATATTAGTAATAAAGTAGGACTGCTGATCATGTGGACATTAGATAACAAAGACAGCCTAAGTGATATCAATAAATGAATAGATTTTCTAAAATGTGGTGTATATATGTATACAATGAAATACTATTCAGTCTTAAAAAAGAAGAAATTCTGTCATTTGTGATAGCAATTATAAACCTGGATGACATTATGATAAGTAAAATAAGCTGGGCACAGAATGACAAATACCACATGATCTCACATGTGGAATCTACAAAGGTTAAATTCAGACAAAGGGGGAGGAAGAGGAGGAGGAGGAGGAGGAGGAGGAGGAGGAGGAGGAGGAGGAGGAGGAGCCCTCTGCTGGGTATCACAGATTTCTTTGTACTTTATAATGCAAGCACATCGAAAGCAAGAGTGTCCTGTGGGATGATGCTAGAGAAGCTTCCAGACTTCTGAAGTTTCCCCACCCTAGTGTCATTTTCTTAACCCCATTCCACCTGGGGTCTGGAAAGCTGTGATGGGGTTCCATCCCCATAATGATAGGAGATGTGTGGTGGGATCACAGATCCACAAAAGGCCCGGTTGGAAAGGGCCTTCAGGATAGTGGAGTCCAACTCTTGCATTCTGTAGAGAGAGACTGAGGTCCAAGGTTGGGGTGGAGGGGTCAGAGCAACAGTGTGGGATAATTAACTTCTGTCTACCCTTCCTCCACCTCCTAAGCATGGGTCCTGGCCCTTTTTTGGAATAAAAGTAGGAAGAAGAATTCATTGCTAATCATGGCTTGTATTTACTGAGTGTGTCTAACAGGTAGTCATTTAGTGCTCTTGAGAGCCCCAAGTGGCGGTCAGTGTTATTTATTCCCATTTTCCAGCCTGACAGACTGAGGACCAGACAGGTGAAGTCACGCGTTTAAAATTACCAAGGCAGAGCTGGGACTTGAGACTCTGGTATCCACGCACTTATCTATAAGAGTTTTCCTTAGGGACACATTCCAGGCATCTTTATGAGTGAAATCAGAGCTGCCCGGTAGCCCACGAGCCTTCATAAATCTCCCAGTCGCTGAAGCTCAGAACGCTCAGCTGCTCCAGACTCAGGGAGAGGAGCGATGGCACGTGGCAGCTCCGTGTGCACCTTGCTGTGCTCCAGGCCTCCTTGACCCCAGTGAGCCACACCCGCCCCGCTTCTTCCAGAGACGCCCTTGGCCCATCAAAAAGCCATCGCCCTTCCGCGGAGACGGACTTGGACTCTATCAGAGCAAACTAATTTGACTTAACATGGCCTTCCCTCTGCTCTCAATTACTGAGTCAAGATCTGATATTCATTTACATTATTGCGCTCTCGGGGACACAGAGTGCAGCTTCAAAGGCCAAGAAAAGGTCATGCGTCCATAAGGGAAATAGTTCTTAGCAGAAGTCATCACTGAACATCCTGTCTCTGCCGTTCTTTTTCTAAATTCAAGTTCCCTCCCCCAGCAAGGTTCTTCTCAGAGGATGCTAGTTTTGAGCTACATAAGGCAGACCTCCCACTACAATGCAAATGTGTGTTGGGCTTTGGAACCAAAGAAGCCCCCCAGAGCTCAGTTCTTCTCTGGAACTGGCTGTGAGACCTTGGGCAAAGTGGCCTAGTCTTGCAGGGCACCTGTGTTCCCAGCTGCAAGATGGGGATAGTAACACCAATTCCCTAAAGTAACACCATGGGTTTTGCAAGAATATGAGAGATTCCTGGCAGAAGGTGGCACCCAGTGGGTGCCGTAAATGCCAGGTTATCCTGCACCTGGAAATGTAGGTCCTCTGGGAAATCTGTCCCACCGTTTCTCTTCTGCCACCTACCTTCTGCCATTCCTTTTGGCAGAGTCACCAAAGTAATGCCCACTGGGAATACAGAACTCTGGGCCCTCCACTCCACTCCACTCATTTTTTCTTTCAAAACTTACCCATCATCAACTCTGACCTATGTTTACTTCCAGCCTCCTGAGATGCACTTGCCCTTGAAGACACAACTATTTGGAGAGAAAGAAACTGACTAGGCCTCCCCAAGGGTCCTTGGTCCAGAGCCAACCAGCATAGCCACTCTCAAGAGGCGAGATGGGTCTGCAGAAGCATATTCTGTCGGGGTGCTGGGCTTGCAGCGTGCTTGGTCTGAACAAAATAAAGTGTTGGCTCTTTGACATCTGTGCCTTCTCTCTGTTCTCTGGCCACACTACCTGGGACTCTGGAGGGTTGATGGGGTGGAATGGCTCCAAAGACTGCAACCAACCCAAGCTGTTTGTGTACTGGGGGGTGGTGGTGAATATTGCTATTAATATTTCTGTCCTTACGTGTCTACATACCGTGACTTTCCTCTTCTTCACCTGGCCAATTTTGGCTCAAGTGTTTCATCCTCCAGGAAGTCTTTCCTGATATAACAAATAAATACTCCTTCTCTGTGCTCCCTTAATTCTCATACCTATTCCATCATGTCCCCCTTGCCTATTTTACTTATCTACATTGTGTATACATAAGTTTGTGCAAGCATTCAAGAAACTTTGATGAATGAATGAATGACTCAATGAACAAATAAATGAGTCTACATACACTGAATGCATGTGACTCACTGAGATAGAGACATCCCTATAATGTGCCCCCACATCAACATTCAGGAACCTAGAATTTATTCTCATTTTACAAAGGCAGAACTAGTGTATGTATGCCCATATTTAGGCAGCAAATGTGCCTCTAGTTAAATTCCTGCAGGCATAGACTCCACATCCTACCCCAAATGTGTCTCCAACTCTAGGACCCATCCGGTGTAGGCAATCATAGCTTTCACCAGTGGGAGGGAAATCCTGCTGTATTAGCTTGCTAGGGCTGCCGTGACAAAGTACCACAGACTGGGTGGTTTAAATGACAGAAATTTATTGCTTCCCATCCTGGAGGGTTGAAGTCTCAAATCAAGTTTCCTTCTGAGAGCTGTGAAGGCCTCTCTCCTTGGCTTGCAGATGACTGTCTTCTCCCTGTCTCTTCATGTCATCTTCCTGTGTCTGTCTCTGCATCTGAGTTTCCTCTTTCTATACTGGAACAGGACTCACCCTAATGACCTTATTTTAATTTGATTACCTCCGTAAAAACCCTACCTTTAAATAAGGTCATTTGCTGAGGTCCTGGAGCTTAGAACATCCACATACCCCCGACCCTTTTTTTTTTTTTTGGCCAGAGCAGTGGACACACAATTCAACTCATAGCAACTGGTAATGGTTCACTCCAAGAAGAGATCTCAATTCTGACCATCCTTGCCAGAGGCTGTGGGTCGAAGTGGGGAAGGAAGGAAGATGGGACAGGGGAGATAGTCCCTGGAACCTCTCTAGAAGATCTTGCCATCTTTCCCTCTTCTGATGGGGCGAGTTGATGGAACAGTGGACTCGATCATCTCAGAGGCAAGTGAACTGCCCCATTTGGTGAGTCTAGAGGCAGATACTGTTTGTGGAAACACCCATCACTAGCCTTCCATTGACAAGAGGAGACCCCGCTCACTGGAGAGAGATGGGACACGGGAAAGCAGCTGGGACCTCTGAGAGAAGTCAGAGGCCCTGGCCAGGAGTAGGCACTACCCACAAGCTTTCTAACTCCTGGACGTGGGATCGGCATGGGAGAAGATACAGGCACATGTAGCAGGCTCTCCCAAAGGTTCCTGAGGTAGAACCCATGGAATCTCGAAGCCTCAATAAGTCACGTCCTCCACTGGACCTCAGTTTCCTCAACTTGGCAATGGGAGTAATAGTTACTAGAATCTAATGAGATTTGGGGAAGAGAGTATTGTATGCTGTAATAGTTTGTTAGACATATCATAGCAAAATACTACAGTCTGGGAGATCTAAACAGCTGGAATTTATTTTCTCAAGGTTCTGGAGACTGGAAGTCTGAAAGCAAGGTGTCAGTGGGGTGGTTTCTCCCGAGTACTCTTTCCTTGGCTTGTCGACGCTGCCTTTTTGCTGTCCTCACGTGGTCATTCCTCCACATGCACACACCTCTGGTGTCTCTCTGCATGTTCACATTTCTCTTCGTAGAAGGACTCTAGTCAGATTGGATCAAGGCCTACCCTAATGGCTTCATTTTACCTCTTTAAGAAAGGGCCTGTCTCCAAATGCAGTCACATTCTAAGGTCCAGGCGGTTAGAACTTTAACATGTGAATTTTAGAGGGCCATGATTCAGCCAATAACACACTACGCACAAGCAGGTGGTGATTTAATTTATTAATAATGGTAATTATTGTTCATGCCATGATCAGATAAATATGCTCCAAGCTCTTGGCTTGGTCCCCAAACAGAGGCAAATATGGAAGTCAGGAATAGATTCGCACTGCCTTCCTGGCATTGGCGTTTCATGGACATTTGAAGCCTGAAACCTATGAATTTCCACAAGCTTCTCTTGGTGTGCTAGTAGTATTACTAGGCCAAAAGTTGCTGAACACCTGCTAAGTGCCAGGCCGCCACTCCCCACACCCAGGACCTTGTGGTGAACACTCAGGGTCACCCTGCCTCTCTGCGGTCATCCTAGCTATTGAGACAGACCATACACAAGGAAGTAAATACACTGTCAAGCGCGCGAAGTTGCCTTGAAGAAAAAGATGAAATTACCTTGTGAGCACCCTGTTAAAAATTTATCATACGTTTATTTTATGAAGTCGGTTTTTGTCAAGGAAGAAACCCATCATTATTCTTCAACGATGTGCAAGTAATGCATCCAAAAAGGTTAATTCCAAGTAACAACAGCAAAGCTTTCTTCATTATGCAGCAGTAAACAGAAATCCCGAAGGTGCTCATTAAAAGTCAATTTCACATTCTAGAAGATGACACATCCTTCTACCTCTCAATCTCCCAACCCAACACAGCCTGGGGCAGAAGGTGCTTCCTCAAAGTGATCCTCTTCCCTGCAAGCCGAATTCATCCAAGTGTCACACAGCAAGTGTGCTAACCCCCACACACAAGCCTTTGCTTCTACCGATTTTGCTACCAGGGATATCAAAATGGCCAGCCCCATGGGATCTGCCATTCATGCCCCAGAGCTGGCATTTCCTTCCTGTGTGACCTCACTGACTTCACTTCTTTCTGGGCTCTCCTTTACTCATCTGCAAAATGGGTCTAAATGAGTACCACCCTCCCAGCATCCTTGTGAGGACTCAAATGCTCATGCACTTAGCACAGTGCTTGGCACATAGTCAGCCTGCAGCAAACAGCGGCATCATTGTTCTTCAGGCTCAGAAGCACCACTCCCTGAGGCCCAGGCCTGAGGTTCCATCTACACGGCTGTACCCTGCTGTGGCTTCCCTGTAACATAACGAGTTATTTCAGAGGTGAGGGTGTTGGCGGTCATGGATCCAGGTGGATGAAGTGGCCACCCCAGATGTTTCCTCTTGCTGCCATCCCTTGAGGCTATTTTTTATGGAGTGTCCAGATCTCAAAAGAACCCTAGACCATTAGGACTAGAAGAAAGCCTCAAAGTCATGTTACAGGTGAGGAAAATGAGTCTCAGAGAGGAAAAAGGATTTTCCAAAAGCATTCAGTGGCAGAGCTGAGTTTAGAACTCAATTAACATTTATTCATTCAACAAATATTTATGGACCTTCCACCACCACATGTCTGGAAACTGTTGCAAGCACTGCAGGTAAAGCTGAGAACAAGACAGGCAAAGACTCTGCTTTCTCGAAGATTACATTTGCTGCAGGAGATAGGTAGTATACTTGGAAGTGTATACACTGACCATGACCCTGCCACCAGATATCCCCCAGTAGTCCAGCACCTACCAGTCATCCTCCTGTGTCTGTATGATCTTAGCCCTGCTCAGAGGCCCTCTCCCAGGCCAACAAAGTCCCGGCCCTGTCCCACCCAAGGCCATTGGCTCTATGCAGAGGTCAGAGATGGAGAATTGAAGTTCTGCCTTCTTTCCTCGTCCCAAAGATTGTAAGTGGAAGAACAGGAGAGGGGAGATTGTTAGTACAACCAGAAGAGTAAGATGCCAAAGGAAAGTTCTGGATGTGATTAATGGTCTGGCCAAGCTCCTGCCAGTGCCTTTAAAAAAATGATGGACAGTTTAGGCTGGACTCCCACTCCCTACCTCTGGTTGCTTATTTACCTGTCAATATGGGCAGCTTCTTCCAGAGCACAGTGACAGATGTTAAAGCAGCAGCCAGGTGACAAGGTGAGACAGTGACCCTGTCACCCTTTATGCTAGGTGATATTCAAACATCACTTCTAAGTGGCAGAACTTGGGGTCACCTGTCCTATCGGTCACCCCATGCCTTCTACACATGCAAAGAAAATTAGAGAATGACTCAAAACACTCCTCTGTAAATGGCTGCATGAGTAGCCCTATTCTGGGCTCACTGGTAAAATCATGCTCATAGTGCATGCCTGCAGCATGTCAAACTCTGTGCCATGGCTTATGTATCCCTCTTTCCAACTCCCGTCTCCCAGAATCTAAAGTTTATGGCTTCCTGCTCAGCCTTGCAGCAAGAGATAGGAGACATGGCTGCATCTGCCAAATGCCCTTGGCCTTTCCCACCCCCACCCCCAGCATATGTTTGGGGGAGGGGGGCTGTAGCACAAAATGGAAGGACATGGGGGATGCAATCCTTTAAAGCACAGTGGCCTCGTCCCTGAAGTAAGTCAGTGACCGTGGCTGACTCTGACCAACTAAATAGCAATTATTCACTGTTCATCGAGTGGGAAGACAGAAGCACTAGGGTTCAGGCAAAAGGTTAGTGCTTCTCCCCTGTACCAGGCATGGAGGCTCGGGGAGGACAGACACACAGATACGTGAAGCTGGGATTTGAAGCCAGGGCTCTGACTCCCAACCCAAGTGTTCTTGGTAATGATGGCATGGGCCAAGCTTGGCAGTGTAGATGGTGTTTTCCTGTAAGGTCAGCTAGTAGAACAGACCTGGGGATCACATCATTTCACCTTGGCCAACTCCCTTTGGCTTAACAAAGCCAGGCTTAACCTGCCCTATCTGGGAAGAATGGGGCCTAATCTCTAGGAGCAGGCTTGGGGTTACTCCTGGCATTGCCTTAAAAAAAAAAAAACCAAGACTTAGTGGTTTGTTAACCCCTCTAAGTCTTGGTTTCCTCTTGAGTAACAGGAGTGGGAGAGGAGACCCTGATCTTTGGAGATTGTCTGGCCCACAGAAGCACCA